TTTTTGTAACATTATTATTATTGTCATTTTTGTTGTAGTAGTTTTATGGATTGAATTGTGCCCCCCTCTCAAATTAAAATGTTGAAGCCCTTTATCCCCAATGTGACAGTGTTTGTAGTTAGGGTCTTTTAGGGTGTGATTAAGGTTAAATATAGTCCTATAATCCAATAGGACTGGTATCCTGATAAGAGGATAAAGAGACACCAGAGATGTGCACATAAAGAAAAGATCACATGCAGAATACAGTGAGAATGCGGCCTTCTGCAAGCCAAGGAGAGATGCTTTGGGAGAAACCAAGCCTGCCGAGACCTTGATCTTGGACTACTAGCTTCCATAATTGTGAGAAAATAAAGATCTTAAGCATATGCCATGCTTTAAATACCTAGTCTGTGATGGTTTGTTAGTGCAGCCATTGTAGACTAATTCAATTGGTGTATAACATATATATGGGATTAAGTATTGCTTGATGACTTTTCATAGAGAACATAACCCATGAAACCACTCCACATATTAAATTACATAAATTTATCAGCACCTCAGATACTCCATCAAGTATCTTCCGATTTACTCCATCACCAAAGGTAACCATTTGTTTGCCTTGTTCTTGAACCTCCCCCCAACACACAAATAAAGCCTGAGTTGTATACAATATATATCAGTATACAATAAGTATTCTGTTATCTCTAACTTACTTAACTCAACACTGTGCTTCTATAATTCATTTGATTTGTTGTTCATTTCTGTATTTTACTCATTCTCATTGTCTTTTATCATCTATTAGATGAATATAACACATACATTTATTCATTCTACTATTGATGGACATTTCAGTTTGGGACTATTACAAATAGTCCTTCTTTGATTATTCGTGTGTGTGTGTGTGTGTGTGTGTGTGTGTGTGTGTGTGTATCCTTAGTTGCACAGATGTACACAGTTATAACTGATACAGCTAATATAAATATACATATATTAGGTATATAAATAGAACTAAAATTTCTGGGTTCATATATTTTTGACTAGATTTATAGTATTATTGCTTCAATTGTGACAATGATCAAAGCTGGAAGAAGAGACACAGGAGTGTGGAATCTTATCTTGTTCTGTCATGAGGATTTTACTGTAATGCTACCTATTTTTTTTATTAGAAATAGTGCTATTGGTTTAAAGTCATTAGAAATGATACTAAGATCACATATGAGAAAGTGTGTGTGTGTGTGTGTGTGTGTATGTGTGTGTGTGTAATTAGGTTTGGAATGTGAGAATAAGCCATGCAGAAATTTAATCTCTTCTGAATCACTTTCTTCTATATTTCAGTCTACATTTGTTGTACTTTATAATTTTTTAAACATTTTTATTAATTTTTGAGAGACTGAGAGAGACAGAGCATGAGCAGAGGAGAGAGAGAGAGAGAGGGGGGAAATACAGAATCTGAAGTAAGCCCCAGACTCTAAGCTGTCAGCACAGAGTCCAAGAAAGGGTTTGAACTCATGGACCACAAGATCATGACCTGAATCGAAGTCGGACATTTTAACTGACTGGGCCACTCAGGTGTCCCCACATATTTTGTATTTTAGAACCTTTATTGTCATGCCCACATATGTTAATTTCTAGGTCTCCTCAATCACCATGCTACTATCATGCATAGCCATTATCATATCAGTGTTTGCATCAATGTTGGAGGATAAGGTAGGATGTAGGAACCATGTCTCTTAATTTGAAATTATGAGTTATTATTTAGTAAAAGCCAAACTAAAAGTTTCATTGAATAATTTAAAATATTTCATAATTTACATTTTAGAAAATGTAAAAAAATAAAATAAAATGCTTAATAAAACCCAGCTTCCCTTCTTTACCTTGTTTTTTATCAGACCTTCATTGACTGTCATCTTAATGATTGAATCTTTTTTGTTTGTTTTCAGATTGATCTATCCCAAGTTTCTCCTTACCAGTATTTTCATTTAATTTGCTACCTGAGATATTTTCTACAAATAGCAAATTCTATTGTATTTCCCCTTGTCTCTCTGTTATTCAAAAGAATCCCTTCTTGACTCCATACTTGCTCTCTAGTTTCAACTTGAGTAATCTATATTTGGCTTGGCATCATCTCCCTTTTCTATCTTTAATGCATCTTCAACACTTTGATTTTCCTTAATTTCATTCTGTGGGAACTAGTTTTGTCCCTTGGTTTTTGTTCTAACTTAGATATTTATAGCTCTGATTCCTTTATGTTCAAGATTAGATATTTTCTAAGGTCATCTCTTGTGTTCCTTTCGTTTATGTACTTGCAAGCTGTCTCCTGACTCTCTCATCTGTTCTTAAAATGTAAATACTACATCGATGTAGAATATATATAATTGTCTTCCAATATGGATTCTGAAACATAAAGACTCAGATGTGTTGTTCTTGTGAAATAAAACACTTCATCAGGTACACTGATGATGGAAATAGTCTGTCCTACTGCATTCAGATGTAGTCATGCCATGCTGAGCAGACTCACTTTTTGATCACTTGTACTTATAATAGTTATAAGTGCAAGAGTTTTAAAACCAAATGTACTTGTGTTGTTTACCAACTGAACCATCTCATGAAAGTTGGGTTTTCCACCTCAATCCTATGTTTCTCATTTGAAAATGGGGGAAATGACACCTATTACATTGTGACGGCTTATATATAATTGTGTTATTGGTAACATCTCAGAATAGGAGCAGCAAATTGCTCAAAGTCAGGTACAAGAATCATAAAAATGCCTTCTTTCTCTCTTTCTTCACCATTTCAAAAATGCAAAATCATACCTGAAGACTGCCTGATAGTCCAGTGAGAAATTGGGGCTATATGGCTTTCACTTTCTCTAAGTCCTGCAGAATTTATTACTTTAAAAATGCAAGGATTAGGGCCAGACTTTAGGTATAGTGCAGAATGGGTGCAAAACTTATCTTTTATGCAAACTGTGGCTGTGACTGTAGACAAGGCACTAAGATGTACAACACTTCATGCAGTATGAGTTGTCCCAAGGACATTGAGGTTTAAATACATTTCTGAGTTCCAAGTTCAAGATTTATGTTTCTTTCTCGTTGTTTAATATGAGCTGATTTAAATCTTACAGCTTTTAAACTTGAGGGCACCATATTTATAAAATTGTTATATTGTGACAAATGATTTAAGAGAGTAAAACATCTTTTTTGCTCTTTAAAAAAATTGGTAGCTTAACTCTGACACATTACATGATTGCCTGCCTAAATATCTTTGTGCTTTATAAATACTTTTTTATAGTATAAAATACTTAAAGGGAATATAATGGAAATACATTTTATATGTTAGGTAATTAGTCTGTTGCTTTTAAAAAGGTAAAAAGGAACAATTCATTTCAGTATAAGCTAGCATCCAGACTATGAAGCAGTGTTAAGCATTTGATAGCCTGCTTATTTTGCTTTTATTTTGCAAGTCTTTTACATACTCATACGGGGCTTGCAATCTCCTACATTATCCAGGGACCTGAACTATCATTTCTTGAAGCAAGATGGATGTTTACCCTTCTTGGGAGGCACTTAACATGGCAGTAGCGCAGACAGTTTAAGTGACCTCTCTCTGGGTGGAAGCCTCAAGTGTATACATAGATTAATGTGTTTCTCCAGAGAGTGATCACTGGGCAGATTCTTATTAGTCAATTTATTCAGTTGATTAAAGATGACTAATCATATTGTATTTTGAAGAACTCTCTTAGTTATTAATTTGAGCCACAGAAAACAGGAGAACCAATTCACCTTAGCTGCAGAAATTGTGTGCAGAGAATTAGACACTTCACATTGCCACGCATGGGCACTGGTTAAGCATGGGGAGGGAATATAAAGTTTCAGTTGTTATGTTCTGTCTAGGTGCAAGTGCAGATAAGCCTTTGATCTTTAAGGCATATAGAATCTGTAGTTAATTGATGGAAAATTTACCTTCTTCCCAAAGTACATTTTGCAAAGTGATTGTAAAGGTGCTTGCCAAATGCAAAACAGATTTAATAGATAATCTGGATTGCATTGACTTTACACTCATTATGATTTAAACAGAAACTTTTGCTAGCAGGATTGGATTTTAACATTATATTGTTTTGTGAATATATCTGCAGATTGTAATATTATATTGTCTTATGAATATATCTGTAGATATTGATATAGATGTGTTTATATTTTGCAAAAAAGGTTCAATGTGACATGCTATGCTTAATTTGAAGTGCAGTTCTTTTTGATGAACTATTTGCATAAAAACATAGTTATTAAGATAAATATTTTTAAACATAACCCTTTAAAAATAATCTTTAATTCTGTCAAATTTCTGACAAATTATGTGGCAAACCATTGTATCTCCAGAATGTCTTGTAAGTGTGGGGTTAGGGCATTATCTACAGGGAAGTTGTCCTAAATCTGTGTTTTCATAGGATGCACACTTTTATTTAAAAAATTTTTAACATTTATTTACTTTTGAGAGACAGAGAGAGACAGATCATTAGCAGTGGAGGGGCAGAGAGAGAGGGACACACAGAATCCAAAGCAGGCTCCAGGCTCTGAGCTGTCAGCCCAGATCCTGATGCAGGGCTCGAACCACGAACTGTGAGATCATGACCTGAGCCAAACTCAGACACTGAACCACCGAACCACCCAGGTGCCCCAAAAGCAGTTTTATTTTTTAAGAGATCCAGAAAAATATCTTATTTTAAAATTACATAATTATTTAAAGCATTAAGGCAACGTAGGAAACTAACAGTATGATTATTTGGAAATCCCGATTCTAATGCTCCGAAGTAACAACAGATTGGACATTAAGTCAACCAGATATATTTTGATATACTGATCCATATAGACTAACAGAAATACTTCATGAAAACAGAATCAAATTATATATGCTATATTTACTTTTAAAAATGATGAACAGAGAGGTTGATTTGTGCAAGAAAGCCTCTGCATGTTGAATGCATGGCTGCTATCTTCTCTGTCCCTGCATCCCTTCAGATGTATCATCATGATGTGAGCAAAGTCATGGGCACTGGTCTAGACTGGGAAGGAACAGCTGACACCAGAGGACAAAACGTAGTGACCAGCTGTGGAGAGCCCAGAAGCAAGAATAAGACAGCATTTTTAGAGATACTTTGGCCCTTAGAGATGTAAGAAAAATACTCCCTGTGGCCCGAGTGAATATCTTTGAAGGATCTGCTGACCTACTCCCAGTGATTTTAAGTCTGAAGACCAGGGTTTGCTCTCTTTACCTCTATAACTGTTGCTGATGCAGCTGTGCAGGCAATGAGAGAAAGGAACAGAGCCAATCGTTTTCACTATTGTTTAGGATTCTAAAGATGTCAGTTCCCATGTGTGAGCGCTTTCATACTTGCCTTTTAATGCATATTTATGAGAGTTTCTATGGGATATATATTTCAAAGTAAAGTACAGAGATTTCCAGTTGTCTTCCAGTCTTAATCATCTCTTTTTTAAGGTAAAATTGGAATTCCTCATGTTGAACTAGGCGTATGGTTTCTCAAAATAGAAAGTATACTTTTGCCCAACTTGTATTCATATATGCCTAACTACTGGCCAATAAAGAAGAGATACCATAATATATTGGCTTGTCAAATTAGCCTTAGACAAATCAGAGATCTTACCTAGGATTAAACTTTACTAGGAATTTAAAGTGCTCAGGTAATCACAAGGCATTATAAAAATCCAGGACTTACAATGAGCTTCCAAGGCTATTTCTCATTGCATCCGACTTGTTCTATCCTGACTTCAGTGTGAAGTATCAGGTGATGTGTGCCACTGTAAATCTTACACAGAAGAGTGTCATCTCAGTTATAAAACATTTCCACTTTATATTCAGTGAGTGACAGATCTTCAGTGACATTTTCCAGGGAACCATTCCCCATAGATCCATAGGTTTTATGTTTGTTTCTTATAAACAATCCTAGTCAACCTGCTAAGTATCTCCTGCTAAATTTGTCCCATAGAAACAGACTCTGCTGCGAGCAAATATCATCAGTTTGCTTGCCAGGAAGTCTGTGATTAACATGCCTAAAAGGACATTAAAACAGGTCACTGTCTTCTTTCTTTCTTTTAAGGTAGATTGGATTCTTAACTATTTCCTTCCCAAATATACAAGCAGAAGCAGTCTCTAAACCCTAGGCAGTATCCTTTGCATTAGAGAGTTTTCTTCTTTCCTCATTCCAAGTAGAGTTTGGATGTAGTGGATGGAAATCTGCCAGACCTTTACAATGGAAACTTTTTGCCAGGTAGAGAAACGAGATTAAAAAGGTCTGTATCCCTGTAGAATTGCAGGGACAGTATGCGGACTTCCAGCCTTTCTCAATATCAGAGAAAATTAACTGTCTATTTTGTTTAAGTTTCTGTTATTTTATATGTTTTCAAACTCTCATATGACTCGAATAACAAAACTGAAAAAAAAAATTGGAACCCAACAGAGTACTGTACATGACAGGACTTCTACATGGCTTTGGAATAAGAGGAGAAGACTGGTTGGCAATCTGATGATGCTTGTTATATAATGGATGTTGTATTATTCCATCAAAAATATTTATTTATTTTGAGAGAGAGACAGAGAGAACAAGAGAATGGCAGAGAGAGAGAGGGAGAGAGAGAATCCTAAGCAGGCTCCCAGCTTTCAGCACAGAGCCCAAATGCGGGGATTGATTCCATGAACCATGAGATCATGACCTGAGCCAAATATGCTTAATGACTGAGCCACCCAGGTGCCCCCATTTCATTTTTACACAGAGTCAAAAGCAGAATTAGGGGGAGCAGTTGAAAATCAATAATGTTGGTCTTGGTTGTCCATTTTTTTCTGCTTCTAATCCTTCAAGAGAGTAGTACTCTATTAGAAGTAGATGATCAGTCTTTAAGTAAAGAGAGAATGGAATGAAACCTTGTTAAGGGAAGCATACTCAGTGGCTAAACGTAGTTTGGAACCTTGGCAGATTGAAGAAATGGCTTTTTTACGGTAAGCCATATCCTTATATATATTTTGGTTGTAACTCAGAAAACTTAGGAGTTAGTAGGATTAAATATTTCTGGCTTACATCCAGCTAGGTGTGGCTATGTTTCTAAGTTCTGCCAAAGGAATGTGAGAAGATATAGTTTGGGAAACTGGGGGCAACTGACCTTAAATGAAAGGGACATTAAAATATCATTTAAAAAATTTTTATATTGGTTGAATATAAATATAATTCCTTGAGCTTCAGAAACAGTTTTAGAACCTGACATGGTCTTAGGGACGGAAGCCAAATATGGTTAGGCAACATGAATGTATAAGTGTGACACTCTGATCCATCTGAAGCCCTGGTTTTCCACACTTCTTGGATAGAGAGATTATATTCTAATTAGAAACTTCTAATATTTGAGTTGCTTCTGATATTCATAATAAAATAAAACACAACTAAGTAATATTTGTGAGAAGCAAAGTGCTAAAGAAACACTGACATAAAGGAGGTCAAATATTAAATATTAAATGACATATTAATGACAATGAAATATTAAAATGACAAATAACCATGTAAATGGCTGGAGAAAATGTCTAGGGCTCACTCAAGTTTGAGAGTATAATTGGAAACTAATAAAAAATTAGGATTCAATGAGATATACCCTGTGTAAATTAGAATAAAAAATAATTGCACAATACAATGATAAAAGCTATACATTTCCATACTGATAGTGCCATACAGATTGGTGCTAGAGACAGAATCCTCCAGGATATTTATAACCATGAGTCAATCATCAGGTAATTTTGTATTCTAAATCTATGCTACCTTTTGGTCAAAACTGCCTCATGAGTGAATTTAAATGAACAGATCCCGGGTTAGATGTGCTTTAAATGACAGGTAGAACTGAATGCACATTTTTTGGGGGGGAGGGGAGGAAAATGACTTCAGTTCACTGTGAAAATCACAAAATCAACATGGAAGGAAACAAGGCATGCTACAAGAAAGTTAGCATATGAGAAACAAACTGAGGACTGATGGATGGGGGGGGGAGGGGGGTATGGAGGAGGGCACTTGTGGGGATGAGCACTGGGTGTTATATGGAAACCAATTTGACAATAAACTATTTGTAAAAAAAAAAAAAAAGAAAGAAAGTTAGCATAGATATCAGACAGGAGAATGAGTTCCATAAGATTTTAGTTATACAGAGTGTCCAGTAAAGATGATAAAATAAGCATGTTCAAATTGAACAAGAAACAAGAAATAATAATGAGTACAAAAAAATCCATCTAAAACTTTTAGGAAAAAATTGTTATGATAATTGAAATTTAAAACTCAATGGAAGAGTTAGAGAGAAGATAAAAGTCAGCATAAGATAGAACTAAAACATGAAAAGTAGATGCCCAGAAATTTAGAACACGTAATGATGCAACAGAGATAGGAAACAGTAAGACACTGAATCACGGATGATAGAAGGAATAGAAAGTCCAATGCATATTAGGTTGATGTTACCTAGGAGGTAATACAAAGGATGAGAAAGAAAGAAATAGGGGCACCTGGGTGGCTCAATTGGTTAAGCGCTGACTTCGGCTCAGGTCGGATGTGCGGTTTGTGAATTCAAGCCCTGCGTCAGGCTCTGTGCTGACAGCTCGGAGCCTGGAGCCTGCTTCAGATTCTGTGTCTCCCTCTCTCTCTGTCCCTCCCTTGCTCATGCTCTGTCTCTCTGTCTTTCAAAAACAAATAAACATTGAAAATTTTTTTTAAAAGAAAGAAACAAATATGTATTTGAGCATTGACTGGAAGTTCTCTAAAATCTAAGGCACTGTAATTCAATCAAATAAGGTTCGTGAACCTCAAACAGAAGAAAGTAAAAGAAAATCAAACCTGGACACACATAATAGTGAAACTTCAGAGAAACAAAGATAAAGAGAACCAGAAAGAAAAGACTGATCACTTAGAGGGATGGCAGACCCATAGGTAGCTTCTCAGACATCAACAACAGCGGTCAAAAGTAAGTGGAATAACATTGTCAGGGTCCTGAGAGAAAACAATTTCAAAATAACCATGTTCTGTTTATTTCCCTATATTTTTATTTTATTTTGATATTCAGAGATTGCAGTTGGATTTTGCTAACCTCCATGGATAGGATCATAATGCTGAATTCCTTTGGTTGGTGTATACATTGAATCATATTGATGAATTTGTAAGTTTTTCTCTGTTTGCTACATTGTAATATTCAATTTCCTCAAATTTAATTACGACTTTTCCATAAGTGAGGTGGTGTATAGTTGCCTTCTCATTTATTTCTTTTCTTCATTCTTTATCAAGTTTTAGAATTAAAGTAAAGCCTATATTTTAAGTGTATTCAGCTTTTCTTCTTTTGTATTATGGGACAAAGTAATGTCTATGCATGCTTCAATAAGCAGCTGATTTTTCCAGTACTTAGCCCATTACAGTGAAATAATTGTTCTTCGGGGTGCCTGGGTGGCTCAGTCAATTAAGTGTCTGACTTCTGCTCAGGTGGGTTCTCACAGTCCGTGGGTTCAAGCCCCACATCAGGTTCTGTGCTGACAGCTCAGAGCCTGGAGCCTGCTTCCGATTCTGTCTCTTTCTCTCTCTCTCTGCCCCTCCCCTGCTCGCTCTCTGTCTCTATCTCTCAAAATAAAATAAAGACATAAAAAAATAAAAAAAGAAATAATTGTTCTTCAAATATATTTTCTTGCCCTACTTTGCACCTACCCTATATGCATCCTATACTCCAAATGTGCAAATTTGTTTTAACATAAGTTCATGTTTAGACTGTGTGATGTCTTTCTTTAGCATTAATGTCTTTATTTTGAAGAATTATTCCGAAGGCCATCTCCTTAATAGTAACTTCCGTAAGCACCAGGTTCAAACACATGTATACCATCCCCATAGCAATTCACATATCCTCACATTAGTATATCCCAGTGGAGTTATTTGTTCAAATGTCTACCCAGTACTCTGAGCAATTAGTTACACTATTGGAGCCTTTGAGTTTTTGATTGAGAAAAACAGTGAGAAAAATACAATCACTTTATTTTGATTGGGATTGCATTGAATGTATAGATTGCTTTGGGTAGTAATGACATTTTAATCAGCATTCTTCTCAAAACTAGAACAAACTATCCTAAAGTTTGTATGGAAGCACAAAAGACCCCGAATAGCCAAAGTAATACTGAAGAAAACCAAAACAGGAGGCATCACCATTCCAGACTTTAGCCTCTACTACAAAGCTGTAATCATCAAGACAGTATGGTATTGGCAAAAAACAGACACATAGACCAATGGAATAGGATAGAGAACTTAGAATTGGACCCACAAAGGTATGGCCAACTAATCTTTGACAACGTGGGAAAGAGTATCCAGTGGAAAAAAGACAGCCTCTTTAACAGATAGTGCTGGGAGAACTGGACAGCAACATGCAGAAGAATGAAACTAGATCATTTTCTCACACCATGCACAAAAATAAACTCAAAATGAATAAAGGACCTGAATGTGAGACAGGAAATCATCAAAACCCTAGAAGAGAAAGCAGGAAAAAACCTCCTTGACCTCAATGACAGAAATTTCTTACTGGACACATCCCCAAAGGCAAGGGAATCAAAATCAAAAATGAAATACAGGACCCCATCAAGATATAAAGCTTCTGCACAACAAAGGAAACAATCAATAAAGCTAATAGGCAACTGTCGGACGGGAAAAGATAGTTGCAAATGACAGCAGACAAAGGGCTAGTATTCAAAATCTATAAGGAACTCATCAAACTCCATACCTGAAAAACAAATACTCCAGTGAAGAAATGGGCAGAAGACATGAACAGACACTTCTCCAAAGAGGACATCCAGATGGCCAACAGACACATGAAATGATGTTCAGCATACCTCATCATTAGGGAAATACAAATTAAAACCACACTGAGATACCACCTCATGCTGGTCAGAGTGTGTAGAATGAACAAATCAGGAGACTCTAGATGCCAGCGAGGATGTGGAGAAATGGGAACCCTCCTACACTGTTGGTGGAAATGTAAGCTGGTGCAATCCCTCTGGAAAACAGTATGGAGGTGCCTCAAAAAATTAACAGTAGAACTCCCCTATGATCCACCAGTACCACTGCTAAGAATTTACCCAAGGGATACAGGAGTGCTGATGCATAGGGGCACATGTACCCCAATGTTCATAGCAGCACTCTCACCAATAGCCAAAACATGGAAAGAACCTAAGTGTCCATCAACTGACAAATGGATCAAGAAGATGTGGTGTATCTATACAATGGAATACTACATGGCAGTGAGAAAGAATGAAGTCTGGCCATGTATAGCAACATGGATGGAACTAGACGGTGTTAGGCTGAGCGAAATAAGTCAGACAGAGAAGGACAGATACCATATGTTTGCAAATATAGGTGGATTAGGAGGAAGCTAACGGAGGACCATGAGGGAGAAGAAGGGGAAAAATAGTTGGGGAGAGGGAGGGAGGTAAACCATGAGAGTCTCTTGAATGTTGAGAACAAACTGAGGGCTGATGAGAGTAGGCGAGAGGGGAAGGGGGGTGATGGGCATGGGGAAGGGCATTTGTTGGGATGAGCACTGGGTGTTATATGTAAACCAACTTGACAATAAACTATTTAAGAAAAAAATAAAGTCAAGAAAACACACATACACACACACAAAGACAATCACTTTAGATACCACAAAGTCTAATGTATTTTATCAGTACTGTGCTTCTTGTGTTAGGGAAACAGAGATCTGGGAAGCATAATTTTGATTAACAGAAGCTGATTACTTTTATAGAATTAACCTTTTTAAAATTTTTAAAAAAATGTTTATTCAGTTTTTGAGAGACAGAGTGTGAATGGGGGAGGGACAGAGAGAGAGGGAGACACAGAATCTGAAGCAGGCTCCAGGCTGTGAGCTAGCTGTCAACATAGAGCCTGACATCAGGCTCACACCCAGTAACCACTAGATCATGAACTGAGTCGAAGTCAGATGCTCAACCGAATGAGCCACCCAGGCAACCCCTGAACTAACGTTTTTTAAAAATCGCCCCATGTCAAGAAACACAACAATTAAAGATGTTATGTGTACATATTTGTCTATTGCCAAAACTAATTATAGAGTTTGTATCTAGTAAGCAAAAAAGATTTTTTTTTTTTTTTTTTTTTGGTGTGTATGCTTGATACTAGACAAGTAAGCACAAGAAGCACAGCAGAAAACTTTGAGGAATTTTTTTGGATTTTTTTCCAAGATGGATTTAGAGCTGTCGACTTTACACATTTAAATTTGATTTTCCTAAAAGAGAGGAATTGTTGGGGCACCTGGGTGGCTCAGTCGGTTAAGCGCCCAACTTCAACTCAGGTCATGATCTCATAGTTCGTGGGTTCGAGCCCCACATCAGGCTCTATGCTGACAGCTCAGAGCCTGGAGTCTGCTTCAGATTCTGTGTCTCCCTCTCTCTCTGGCCTTCCCCTGATCACACCTCTCTCTCAGAAATAAATAAAACATTAAAAAATGTTTAAAAAGAGAGAAATTGTATTAGAATGGTTTGTATCTGTCTATGTGCATTGTGTATAAGAGATTAGATTTTTAGTATCATTGTATCATTGAAGATGCTTTCCAGCAAAAAGCAATAGCAGTGAAAGAAGACTATTTTAATGTTGTACTTCACCACAAGAAGTGACCTTTTATCTATGCGCATTGCTAGATACAACAACCTTCTTAAAATTATTTGGGATGTAAACCCGAGAAGTTACTATTGAAATCAATCCTACAAATTGGAGTGGATTGTGCATTTACCTTTTTTATACATAACTAGTTAAGTAATGACTTAAATTTACAATAATAAAATTGTAAGTCAAGGTGAAAGTATTCTGAACGTGACTTTCTATCACTTTCTACTGTCCTTCCTTTTTGATCTTGAGCACTATCAGGATAGTGACAAAGTGTTAATTTCAAAGTTTGAGAAGCAATCGATCAGCCAACGGCAAAAAGCACTTTGAGCTTGAAGCAATCATCAACACCTCAGGAAAATTTTGAGCATCTCTGAAATTGAAGTTTTACTAAGGTATATTATAGAGACTCATATGCTTTTCATACAAATTCAGATACATAAATAAATGAAATGTGCTTTGTTTATTCCAGTAATACATCAGGCTCCCTGGTTTAATGAGTTCTCAAAATTTGATCTTTGATCCCATAATATTTCTGATTATGACATTTTGTATAGCACAAATGAGTCAACAGTTTTATTTTTTAATTTGATTTGTTATTTAAATCTACTTATCTATTCTGGGAGAAAGAGACAGTGAGCACCAGTGGAGAAGGGGCAGAGGGAGAGGGACAGAGAGAATCCCAAGCTTCTCCCTGCTGTCAATGCAGAACCTGATGCAGGGCTCGATATCAAGAACCATGAGATAATGACTTGAGCCAAAATCAAGAGTTGGATACTAGCTCTTGAGTTTTCTTTAAGCTGGTAGTATATTTCTCATCAAAAGCACATTGTAACATCTAATCTTTATGTACATATTAACTAGGAAACCATACTGTGTACTAAGATGTTATGATAAGCACTGGGTATTATATGTAAGTGATGAATCACTCAATTCTTTTCTTGAAACCAATATTACACTATATATTACCTAATTAGAATTTAAATAAAAATTTGAAAACCAACTGTATATACTAGGAGAGGAATCTCATTTTAAATACTGAAATTAAGTCACTGTTCCCTTGCTTCACTTGATTAAAGAAGCAAAATCATTGTAAGCATAATATTTTTAGGCAAACATTTCCTTTTATTTTAAGAATTAATGCATATTTTGTATTAAGTGCAGCTCAAAGTACTTATTTTTCCAGTATTCTATGCCAAATATGCCAAGATGGCATTGATAACTCTGCAATACATTATAGGAAAAGCACCAACTGTGAATTCAAATGTGCTGATTTGAACTCAAGTTTTGCTGTTTACCCCTAGGCTGATCAAGGAAAAATTACTTACTTTATTGGAATCTAATTTCTTTACTTCTAAAAATGTAAATACTAATAGTAACAAGGGCTTACAAAAGATCTCGGGGGAACTAAGTATTGACCAGATTATGGGGCTACCAATCATCTAACTTAAAGTTAAAATGGATGTATACTAACCAGAGATCATTTGCTATCAAATCAGGACCACACAAAAAGCTCATTACTCTTTATTCAAATTTCTTATATTCATTTTGGAGAAGCATAGTCATTTAAGAACATTTCCTCAGGTTTAATTTTTATTTCAAACTTTATCTTAACTATTAGGTAGGTCAACCTACCTAGCTTTCTTACTTGATTTTCTTAAATGGTTAGTATTCTTGAGGTTTTTAAGTAATAAATATTCAAAATCATTACAGTTATGATTTATATGCTTTTATATTAGTGTAAGGTCCACTTTGAGAAGGTTGAGGTATTTAAGTGTCAAATCTCAATGTTTTAATATCTTAAAATATACAGAAGCAACCATTTTTACAGAACATCTGAGGTTGTAAATCAGCCCTGTATTATAAATTACAACTCTGTCTCCATTATCCACACAAGTATTAATTGTAAACTCATAATTTCTTTTTATATTTGATGAACAAATATTTTATTTTATTTTATTTTTTTTATTTATTTATTTTTTTTACAAATAGTTTATTGTCAAATTAGTTTCTACATAACACTCAGTGCTCATCCCCAAAGTGCCCTCCTTCATGCCCATCCCCCCCTCCCCCCCACATCCATCAGTCCTCAGTTTTTGTCAGCATTCAAGAGTCTCTCATGGTTTGCCTCTCTCCCTTTCCCCCACCATTTCCGCCCTTCTTCTCCCCCTTGGTCCTCCGTCAAGTTCCTCCTAATCCTCCTATACGTGCAAACATATGGTATTTGTCCTTCTCTGCCTGACTTATTTCGCTAAGCATAACACCCTCAAGGTCCATCCATGTTGCTACACATGGCCAGATTTCATTGTTTCTCATTGCCATGTAGTATTCCATGGTATAGATGAACAAATATTTTAATATAGTAAGAATTTCTTATGCAAAATGTCTTTGGAAAACCAAATATGTTTTTGGTGGGCTTTTAATATTCTCAGAATATATATTTAGGCTTCTTAAAAGCTATAGTCATTCACGATTTTGATAATGATTCTATGATTTCCTTAACATATACCAGGTAAAGCACTGTTCTCTGTATTTTGCATGTAGTTTTTTCAATAAACCTGAAGTTCTCCTCTTACTCCTGCTCAACCATATTTACATATTAAGAAATTGACTTTCAAGCAGATAAAACCAATTCTCTGGTGCTTCATTTTATTAGTTTTCATTGCAGAACAATGTAGGCTTGAAAAATAATCACTTCATGTAAAAAAAAAGAAAAAAAAAACCCACAAACAAATGAAGAAAAGTAGGCAAGGAGGAGATTCCCCTTTGAAGGTGGGAGCTTAACATCTTACTTTATAGTTTCTAGAATTTAATCAATTAGAGAAGTTGTTAATAACTATTATCCATGGGAGAAGTCATATAACCAAAGTATGAGAATAGGAGCAAGAAAATAACAGAATTCTTATGAACAGTTGTTAGTTACAAACAATTTACATTTAATCCTCACAGCAAATATATTTGGTGGATACTATGATTTCCACTTTAGAGATGATCTTTATATTTAAGGAATTTAAGGATTTTATTCAAGGTCAGAAGTTTAGAATAAGTGGAGTTAGCATTTAAATACAATGGTTCAATTCCACAAGTCTTATGTTCCATTACAATATCAAACATGTGTATAACAACTCCCTCTCAGAGTATGACAAAGATCAGGTCTAGTATTTTTGCATTATAAAGAAAGAAAAATCCATATTGGTTAAATTCATAACCAGCATCACATTTTTAAAAATTTATCACCTTGTTCAAAGTAGGTAGCAAAGAGGCCCATGTAAACATTATGGGTAGAACTATGGAGAGACTAGAAAAGACTCTGAGTATGTATGGATGTGAGAACCTCAGAAAATTAAAGCCTGTGTATTAACTAGAGTGGACTGAAGGAACAAAAATTTCTAACTTACAAGTTTCTTAATATATATTTAATATATTTAATTTTTTTTTTCACTGAAACTTTGATGTTTTACTGTGAATCTTGAGCCCAGGACCGATCCAGATATTGACATAATTGGTTTGAGTGAATCTGGCTCACTCTTACCAATAAATAATACTTATTTTTACTTTGATTTATATTTGAGTTTGAAATTATGTTCACTTCATACCACAGTTGTTAAAACTGAATTATATAAAGTCTCTATCTGTAAAAATATTTTGGTAATACCGTCTAAGCACAAGTAGGGCCTGCCTGATAGTGCCATACTCACCATATAATGTACTGGGCCCTGTTAACAGGCTGACGTCAAATGCTTTGATATTCTTCATTTCCATTTTTCTTTCAGTGTGAAACCAATCTCTCCCTTTAAAAAAGAAAGAGAGAGAAAGAAGGAAGGAAGAAAGGAAGGAAAGAAGGAAGGAAGGAAGGAAGGGGGAAAGAAAGAAAGAAGAAGAAAAGGAAAGAATAAAGGAAAGAAAGAAAATTTATTTTCTCAAAGTTCTGGAGGCTAGAAGTCTGAGATTGATATAACAATAGGGTTGGTTGCTTCTGAGGCCCCTCTCCTTGGCTTGTGGATGGCTGCCTTCTACCCCTGTCTTCACTTGATCTTATTCTCTGTGTCCTAACATATTATTTTAGAAGTTAAAAAAATAATTGAAACATAGTTGACATATATTATTTCTAGATATAGAGCATAGTGATTCAGTAATTATATAAACTAGGAAATATTGATTATGATCAGTATATTACAAGGCTATTGACTATATTCCCTATGCTGTACTTTTCCTCCCCACAAATCTCTTAAAATATGTATTTTACTCACTCTTCAGACTTGTTGGAATGTTACCTATTTTCTTTTGATATTTGATATGTATAGCATATTTTGTAACATTTAATTTTGAGAGAGAGAGAAAGAGCGTGTGAGTGAATGGGGGAGGAGCAGAGAGAGAGGGAGACACAGAATCTGAAGCAGGCTCTAGGCTCTGAGCTGTCAGCACACAGCTGGATGCAGGGCTGGAAACCGTGAACCACGAGGTTATGACCTGAGCTGAAGTAGGGTGCTTATTAACCCAATGAGCCACACAGGCGCCCCTGCATCGCATATTTTTTTTAACAGTCATGTCACCACACTGATTGATCTCATCATTTGGGAGTTGTGGACACCTTTTGTTAAAACTGGATAGGACAGGCATGAAGGAAAGTAAATCTGGAGTTTTTCTGACACTCCCAGGTAATGGTGCTGACAAAGACTATCTAATTCAATAAGAATCATATGTTCAGGAGTAAAGTAATAAAAAAAAATTATATCAAAAACAGGAAATAAAGCAGCACATTATCCCAATAGGTGAAACAAACATAGTAATGGTGATAGAGAAGAGTTAAGATCCTATAACAGGCAACAAACATCAGGGAGTTCTAGCAGGATAAGTGGATTGTAAAGTTTTATTGTCATGTGTTTGTTTTGATAGTTGGTACCTAGTTACATGTATGTATTATCTTCAATTTCTTTAGACGGTATAGGGTTTTGACTTTATGTACTTCATGTACATCTACATTTCTCTTATTTTTTAATATTTTATTTATTTTTGAGAGAGAGAGACAACATGAGCAGGGGAGTGTCAGAGAGAGAGGGAGACACAGAATCTGAAGCAGGTTCCAGGCTCTGAGCTGTCAGCACAGAGCCCAATGTGGGGCTTGAACCCACAAACCGTGAGATCATGACCTGAGCTGAAGCCGAACGCTTAACCGACTGAGCCACCCAGTTAACCCACATCTACATTTCTATATTTGAAAGATGCTCCCTCAAAAGTTATATCTGAAAATAAAGACAGAAGACTCTTGGTAAATTAGAGCAGTACTAGACTGATTTGATGACAAAAATTACTTTAATTGTAAGCAATTTAGTTTACACTTCAGTAACTTTGAGATTTTGATGGGATATTGATATAATGATTTTGTGGAAAAATGTAACTATTCCAGAGAAAAGTAATCAGCTAATTCTGGATAGATGAAATGTTTGACAAGAAGACAATCTGAGATGAATCTAATATAACTACAAGACACTGAAGGCCTGGACCACATATGGAAAAAAGGAATAGATGCAAGATATATTACAAAGTTAGTATTTCATGCCAGAAAAGATACAAGTAAATTATTTATGAACAAGCTGTGCATGTATTAAAATTGACAGAAGGCAGGTAATAAGAATAATCACATCATTGTTTTACAGCCACATCTTGTTTTTGCAAAGTCTGTTTCTCATTCTCCTATGTCCTTTGACTTGAATTATCTGACTTCTTTGCTCGGATGAAGTTCCATTTTTGATTCTAAAATGTGTTGACAAAATGCTACCTATATTATATTAAAATTTTTATCCTAGTATTCATTAGCCATGTGTTTCAGTATTTTAGTAATAAATGATCTTTCAAATGAGAGACGTAGATAATGATGACAGGTAGATAGGTTGAGGAACAGAAATAACCCAGTTATAGAGGAGAAGAGAGAAAAAATCTAATAAAAAGACTTGGCATTCAGACCTTAGTAGCAATTACTTGAAGGCATTCATAGAATGGGTTTTAATAAATATTTTCACTTTATTTAAAATATCAGAATGGGAGACATGTTAACAGCCTCAATGTTTAGACATGAGCTAATTATTTAACTAATCATCATTTCTTCTTTGTGAGGTTGAGTTAATTTAAAATAATTAGATCACCATGTCCATTTCACACTTTGAGCCTTCCTAGAATAAGCAATGAAATGGCAAATGAAATTGAAAAATGATGGCGCCTCAGCTCTTTACAAAAAATAAATATACAACCAGAGCATGTAAAGCTACTGTCACTTCACATAGTAGCAATCTAGACTAAAATGAAGATGAAACAGCTTTCCTGGCTAGAATGAAGATATCAACTGCATTAAATTAGATTTTTTGGTACTTAAGTGAAAGACAGTTTTCCCAGTATCTGAATTACCTGCCTCAAATCACTTCATAAATTGGACTAAACAGTATTGAGTTTGGGGGTTGTTTTCCTATTCCCTTCTGTTGACACGAAGTTCAGTGCTCCATTTCTTCTTTAACTCTGAGAGAAGCTGTAATAACAGAGACTATAGAAGTAATATAGAAATGAAATGTTTCAAATTGCATTTGTGTCCCCAATGTCTACTTTAGACTTGTCCAAAGAAAAGCACACATTTTGAAGTAGTTTTAGAGGGCTCTTCTTTTGAATAGATAATAATTTGTTTCATGAGGTACACATTTTCTCTTTTGAAAACAAGAGGAAAATAATTTCCCCTTTGTTCGCTTTTCAGTATAATTGTGTAGAGAATGTTGGTACTTACACTGATCACCTCAATTTCCACAGTGTTAGAATAGATAGTTTAATTGCAAGTACTTACATATATACTCTTACTGTTAATCTTCTTAATATTACCATGGTGATGGTCCTCTAAATCCAAGTTTATTGATCTGTATATAAGTAGGGATGTGAAAAGAAATTTCTACCCCAAATTCTCCCGTTATGCTGTCATTACATAGGCACAGGAAAACTGTTGTAAATATGCCCATGATACAAAGATAAATAGATTTATAAAAATGAGAACATGGCAGGAAGTAGTGGTAGAGGAATAATTTAATATTCATGTTATCCTCTAAATAATATTGGAAATCCAAAAAATTCTTAATAAATTTATTTTAAATAATAACAGGAACCTCAAAATTCTATTACTGGTGTATTATTAAATTAGTTGAAACTTTTAATAAAAATTATTTCAAGCGGGGTTGAGTGAGATATTACTTTAACCCAGTCTTATGTCATAAGAACTAAAATATTGTTTCATTAACCTAAACACTGTATTTTCAGAGCCTACTAAGCCACTGGAGCATATAAATAGAAGTTTCTCAGTGAATGCCTATTGAATTGAGTTTATATTAAAAAGGTTGTTAGTGAAATTGAAGTGTGATTATCAAACTCTATTTTACCAAACATTACTCATTTACCAAATAGTTTTTATTTTACTCTGCATATTGATACTGACTTTATAGCGCCCATAAATTACATATCTGATTATTAAAAAAACAAATATTTTTATTCAATTTGAAATTAACTCTAGGTTTTAAAGGATTTAACAGCTTGATCTTAAGCCAGATATATTTTTTCCCTTACATTCGAATTTTCCAATGTGAAACCAAGATACGTGAGCATCCAACACCCTGTATCTTTATTGGATTTAAGTAGTACTTAAATCAATAACATTCTAGTTTAAAAGAGGCTACTTGACTTTCAAGGCATTTAATTAAAGCTATATTCCATTAGCTAGAATAATCTAAACGTGACTTCATCCATTAAATCATTAAGATCATTTTATCAGATCCTTCCCTTCTGAAGATTGTTGATTTACTTGTTCCTTATAGATCACACTTTACTCACAGAATATCAAACACTTAGTCATTATATGTTTAATTATAAAATATGTAAGAAAATGAAATACTTAGTCTCATTAATGGGTATATGTAAATTCTCATGCATGTAATTTTTGTCTGAGATAGTAAATATTGTTATTCCTCACATCCCATCGTTAGCCCTGTGTTGCCTCACAGCACACACTGTCACATGATGATTTTTCCAATAACAACAATGACAGTGATGACTGTTACTATTAGAACACAATGGCTATATGTAAGGCACTGCTTAGGACTCCACATTACTATGTTTAAATTAATTGTCATTAGATATTACATACTGTGAGTTGCTTTAAGATAAAACTACATATTTGTTTTTAGAGTTTTAAGATAAAACTTCATATACATATTTATGAAATCATATTTAGGATGAACAGATTAGCATTACAAACAAATAAAATGAAATGCGACCATCTGGAAACAGCCGTGGTAGAGCTGTGTTTTGTTTTGTGCTTTTTCTTTAAATTTTAAATTCTATTTGAGTATGTAGTGTATGTAGTGACCTTCTTTTTACCACTTGGGCCAGTACTTTTTCTCCAGGCTCTGTCTATTGTTAGGTATCATTATTTTTCTCATTTTTACCAATCAAGTAGAGAAAATAGAAACTTATTAGCTTACTCGTTTGAATACTTTGAAGCAAAATCTTTTATATATGTAGATTACTGGCCATTTGTATTATTCCCTCCCCCAATTTTCTATTTCTTTCTCCTGTATATGTTGTCATTGTCATGGCTACATATGTTTGAATTCCAATGGCATATTGGAGAAAACATTGTTCTAGTGTCCCAAAAACATTAACATAAATTACACATTCATCTAATAATTTATAATGAAATAGGTATTTACTGAATGCTATTCATGTGTCTGACACTGTTCAAGAGATAAGGGATAAAATAGCAAGCATAATAGAT